CTAAGTGATTGCTCTGAAGAGAAATCACCATGAATGCACACAAATGTGTTGATTTGGAGGGAAAATGGTATCTCTTTGGCACCTCAGTGAGAATAAAGAGGATGGGCTAGAGTCTTTTAAACCTATATTCAGCAATCCTGTACATTCCTAAAGTGCTGTGCATATTTGAGGACAAGCCTTTGCACAAGCCCTCTTTGTGGTGCTGCTTATTTCTGTCCATATCTGTCATTGTGTTTTACAGTCTACGGCGTGGAGCTGCTCCTGAAAACCACTGGACTGGGGCCTGTCGAGTACCTATCCTCTGGGTGGAATGTGTAAGTGTGCACTGATGTTTTGAGAGAGGCAGTAAAAATTGCTGGGTTAGAAAGACTGACTTTTGAGAGGAGCTTTTAGGGCTGTGGATGAGGCCATCTGCAGGCCGTTATAATTCTTCTGTGCTTGGCCTTCTGCAGCTTGTCAGGCTGAAGCGACACCAAGTACCACTTCTCTGCTGAAATCCAATGACATGTCGTTGCTCTTATTTTTTTTTTTTTCCAGCTTTGACTTTGCAGTGACCCTCTTTGCATTTCTGGGGCTCCTGGCACTGGCGTTTAACATGGAGCCATTCTACTTCATTGTGGTCTTGCGACCTCTTCAGTTGCTGAGGTGAGATGGGGAGGCTATGTGGGGGGTACGGAAAATAGATGGGGAAGAAAACAGCCAGATTCGTTTTCATTCAATCCCATTGGGGACTGAGCTCCTTAGCAGAGGAGGGCAAGGATTGCTCTGTGGGTACATGACCATGGCAAGCAGGAATTTGTGGGGTAATGAGATTAGCTGGAGTTATCAAAATGACTGATAACAAAAACTTGGGATGGGATATGAAACCCCGTGCTTTGCAGCTTAAGCTGATCTCTAATAGAGATCAAGGGATTTACCAGGGGCAGATTATCCTGTGTCTGCCTTCGTGGGGTTCTTACGCCTCCTCTAAATTGTCTGATGCTGCTCAGAGAAAAGCTCTTCTGCCAGGGTGAGACAGTCTGAGCCAGTTTAATAATTTCCATTGAATTACCAGAAATTACAGTTTTCAAAGGATACTGCTTTCTAGGGTGAAGTGCAACCCTACTCTAACTCCATCTCACACCATAAGCAAGACTGAGGCCTGTAACCTCTCTGCAGCTCAGTAAGATGGGTATAATTAACCCTCCTGTACTAAGGCTGTTATGGAGGTACAGTGATCTGCACAGAATGCTTTGACAGCCATAGATGGAAGGCATTTTAGAGAGGCAAAATATTGTTTTATTAAAGAAAAGCTGGTGTAGCGTAGCCCTTCAGTGAGGATTTAAAGAACACAATGATAGCTTGGAAGAAAAAAACACCCACGTTTTCTCCATTGCTCCCCTACCATAGCGTTTGGCAGCTGTGCTTCTCTCTGAAGGTCAGTGGAATTGCAAGTTTGAAATTAGCAGGCAGAATGTGTTTTTCTTTCATTGCTTATTTTACTGAGTCATGGGGGAAGCACAGAAAAGCTTGTGTCTGGGGAAAGGAGTAATGAAAGCAGCTCTGTGGGAATTCTGGTGGACAACAAGTTGACCATGAGCCAGCAGTGTGCCTGTGTGGCCAAGAAGGCCAATGGGATCCTGGGCTGCATTAGGCAGAGTGTTGCCAGCAGGTCGAGGGAGGTGATCCTGCCCCTCTCCTCAGCCCTGGTGAGGCCCCCCCATGGAGTACTGTGTCCAGTTCTGGGCTCCCCAGCACAAGAGAGACATGCACTACTGGAGCGAGTCCAGTGAAAGGCTACTAAGATGTTGAAGGGACAGGAAAGGCTGAGAGAGGTGGAACTCTTTAGCCTGGAGAAGAGAAGACTGAGAGGAGAGCTGATCAATGTGTACAAGTATCTGAAGGGAGAGTGTCAAGAGAGTGGGGCCAGACTATTTTCAGTGATGCCCAGCGACAGGACAAGAGGCAATGGGCACAAACTGAAACACAGGAAGTTCCGTCTGAACATGAGGAAAAACTTCTTTCCTGGGAGGGTGACTGAGCACTGGCACAGGTTGCCCAGAGAGGTTGTGGAGACTCCCTCCCTGGAGATATTCAAAAGCTGTCTGGACACAATCCTATGCAATATGCTCTAGGTGACCCTGCTTGAGCAGGGGGGTTGGACTAGATGATCTCCAGAGATCCCTTCTAACCTCAACAATTCTGTGAATCCTGACCCTGTACGCAGGACTGGTTTAGGCGCTTGTGGTTTCAAAAATGTAGCAATTTATGCTTCATGCTGTATAACAAGATGTGAACCTTTCCTTGAGGGCACCTTAACCCTGCAGACACTTACTTGGATGTGTCATAAGCATTCAGATGGGATAGAGACACCTGCTCAGATGAGCAGAGGCTATTTGAGCGAGGACAGATTCTGCGAGTTTGGTGTCAGGAAGCCGTAGCTGTTCGTTGACTTGTGTGGTAGGGATCTGTGATACTCTTCTAACTGTTCCCAGCGATCATGAGAACTCCAGGAAAATCACGGTGCATAGGTAACCATGGGCTTCTCTCTTCAGGCTCTTTAAATTGAAGAAACGTTACAGAAACGTCCTGGACACTATGTTTGAGTTGTTCCCCCGGATGGCCAGGTATTGACTGACTGTCTTTGGGTTGGGGAGAGAGGGGCTGAAGGGCCTGGGGCTAGGGTCAGGATAGAGACCTGTCCAACCTGCCAAGGGTATTCATGGTCTGTTCTGTCAACTGATTGATGCTGGTTCTTTGCAGCATGCTGCAGTGTGGTGTTAATCTTCAGGCTTCTTGGAGCAGTGTATGATAAGAAACTCCCTAGCACCTTGGGCCTCCTCTTGCCCTTGTGTGATAGGGAGATAACTAAGAGTTTGTTTATTTGATTTTTCTCCCTTGCCACAGATTTTGATGAGAGGCAAGGCTCATTTGGGAGGCATCTTTGGCATGAATATACTCTGCCCCAGATGTTTTCCTTGTCCTCAATGCAGCCGCTCTAGAGCGTGACTGTGAAACAGCTGAAGGAGCTGCTGTTTGAGTGGGACATCCTCGGACCTTATTCCCTTGGAGCAGATCTGAGCAGAGCATGTTAGCTAGTGAGCCTTGTTTTTGGCACTCTCCAAAAAGGTGGAGAGGGCAGAACCAGTGTCTTGTTCTTTAAAATAACTGTGGAGACAGGTTTGTTTACCAGAAAAAGATAGATCAAGAATAGTTTTTAGCTTCTTGGAACTTCCTTCTCTCTTTAGTGAGTGACAAACTCCTTGTCCCAGGACTTCTTCAATGAGAGTAGAAAAACACTGCAGGGCAGCAAGGGCCTGGAGGATAGTCTGAGGTTTTCAGTGCTGTTTCCCATCCGTAACTTCCAGAACTACCGGTCTGTAACTTTTGTTTTTTCTGTGTCAGCAACTGTTCAGTAACACAGTACTTTTCATGCTTATGTCCTCCAGCCTGGGTTTAACCCTGCTGATCTTCTATTACTGCTTTGCCATTGTTGGCATGGAATTCTTCGCTGGTGTGGTCTACCCAAACTGCTGCAAGTGAGTACCGCAAATCCATCCCCCTCTACAGTGGGTTTGGTGCAAAGCCAGTAGCTGTGCCTCTCGTATCTCTTATCTCCCTGTGAAGAAGGGGCCAGAGGATGAGTCTGAATGGCCCTTGGCAGCTAAGGCAATGTTCTTGGAAAATCTAGGGGAGATGCTTCTCCTCTCTGGCTAGGATGAAATGACTTTTGCATTGCATTTAGAAGGGGAGAGGATTCTGTGGGGCAGATGTCTGCTTTTAGTGAGCTCTGTAACTGGCCTCAGGTAGCTGCATTGGGATGACTTCTCCTTCATGGTGTCATAGCTGGGAACTCCTGTAACATCTGTGAGGCTATGCTATGGAACAAAGATGAGGGTTTTTTTTTTTTTTCCCCTCTTGGTGATCCCAGTCTCTCTCTGCCAGAAGTGTTGCATACTTTCAGGCCTCACTTTCTACAGATAAATTCACCTGATCTTGGAAGCTAAGTTGTCCTGGGCCCTTCTTATCTTAAATGATGGCAGACCACCTGAAAATGCCAAGCTTTAAGTGTGTGAGCCAAGGACTCTACCTCAAAAGCTCAGTTTCTCTGGTCTAATATTTGCTGAATGGCTAGAAAGACTTGATGTGGTCCCCGGGCTTCTGCTGAACTGTGAGGGCGGAGGAGAAAGGCTTTCTTTTAGAGAGAGGCAGATGATGGCCAAGAGATAGAAACTGCCATCCTGCTCACAACCTCCTAAGCATCTGTAGCCCTTGAGATTTTCCTTGCTTTTTCCGCTCTCTTCTCATTCTTTGTCCTGGTTTCTCTGATCAGCACAAGCACAGTCGCAGATTCCTACCGCTGGGTGAACCATACCGTTGGTAACAAGACAGTTGTGGAAGAAGGCTATTACTATCTCAACAACTTTAAAGCGGTTTGGTCCATAGCAAAGACTACTCCTTAGTGCATCTGTGTTCCTGCGGAGTTGAATGATAAGATTGCAGTGCTTATGTAGGCCTGGGATTCTCCCAGGGATGATTCCTACTAATGCACCTCAAACACTCAGCGTCCTGCTGCTCTTGTCTGGATAATTCCAGCTGAGAAATTTTGTCATGAATTTTTTGCAAAGTGAGCAGGCATCTCTTAAAAGTCAGTGTGAAGCCAGCAGGCTTGTTCTGGCAGGTGATCAGACCAGACTTCCAGAGATGTTTAGGGAGGGGTTTGAGTCACTACCTCGATAAAGATCTAACAGTGATGCTACTACATTTCTTTAAACCTATTGATGAAGAACAGTTTGACTATCTTTCTCCATGATTTTCTCCAAGGATGCTTATTTTCTCTTGGAGGCTTCAGAGGTCTCCCTGCTCTCATGTGGAAAGGGTCAGGTTTGTTTCTGATGCTTTTTAAGAAACACAGATCAAGCTGGGAAGATGCTAAACTAATTGCGGTGATGAGGGCCAGCATTCTGCCTCTGGATTTGCTGGCTCTATTGAAACTTGGTGGGCTGTATTAAAACTTGGTGTCTTATAAAGTCTTTGACAGGGACAGCTGAGGTCTAAGAATCATTCTGAAGCTGATCCAGTTGGATAAAGCAATTGTCTTTGTTTTTCTTCCACTCTCATACAGTCACGCTGTTTGAGTTGATGGTTGTCAATGACTGGTATATCATCATGGTAAGTAAACCTCAGCTACCTTGTGTGTACAGACATTGCTGATGCTTGACAGTGCACTGCTGAGCTAGATCTTCCCCACCACCACTCCTTTCTTCCCCCAGTAATTGGAGGTGGGCAGGGTTATGCCCAGCGCTGTCACTTGCTGTTGCCAGATATTTGTTGCTCTTGATTTTTTTGGGGTGATATTTAACCTTTGTGAAGTGCTGCTGGGTGTGTTTCTCATGAATCTTGATCAACCTTCAGGCCAGGTTTCAGGATCTGGAAGAGTGAAGTCACACTCTACCCCGTTTTGTCACCCTGCACTCCAAGCTGTGTTCTCATAGCAGCAATGGCTCATGTGCCCACAGGGTTTAAATGATCTGTGTGTTTGCTTATAGGAACCTCTCTTTACCTTTAGAGGCAGATTAGCTACAGGGACCGGTTGGAGTACTGAGCACTGTGCAGACAGTCCCTGGGGCTAGCCGTGAAGCCATGGATATGAGATAGTGTTTGTGCTGCTTTCTGTGTGATGACACTTAACAGGAGGTTCTCCCTTCTTTATGCACTGCTGACTTTTTCCCTCCCCTCCCTAGGAAGGGGTGACCTCACAAACCACTCACTGGAGCCGTCTTTACTTCATGATCTTCTATATCGTGACCATGGTAGGTTTCTGGAGATGCCTTGTGCATCAAATAATGGGGATGGGGAGGGAAGACAACTTTCACCATGTTCTAGTGGGAGCCTCCATCCCTAAATGAGGAGAGCTCTGCTCCTGTACGTAATGTCTTCCAGAAACAAGTGTGCTTCCGCATCACGTAAAGCAAGTCGAATCTACAAGATTTGCAGGTGTTGGCAAAGCTGATGCTGTGGAAATCTGGGCAAGGACTAAGGCAGCACAAAGGTTTTGTTCTGTCCCCTTTGTGGTTGACTGTCAGTAGTTTACTCGTACTCACAGGTAGATGTGTGATTTGGGACGTGCCCGTCCCCTCTGCCAAGGAGGAGCTGGGGAACGTCAGGAGGTGAAGCCAAGACTGAATGCTGAGCTTTCTGTTGCTGGTCTGGAAGAATTCCCCAGCAGCAGCCTCCTGATCTCTTCTGTCCGTGTCCTCTCCCAGGTGGTGATGACGATCATAGTGGCATTTATTCTGGAGGCTTTCGTCTTCCGCATGAACTACACACGGAAGAACCAAGATTCAGAAGGTCAGGACTGAGAAGTGGCCAACCCACCATTTTGTGTCTTCTCTCACTGGTGTCTTACATCTATAGGAGAGAGGGATTGACCAGCAAAGACCAGATTCTTTTTAGCCTGGTTTCCTAAACTACTCCTTATGCATTTGTGAGAGATATCTATCTGACCTTTCTGCTCCAACCCCATTTATCCCAAAACCCATCCCAGCCCTATGCCCGAAAGAGCATGTGTATGTAAAAATATATACATATCTATATCTATATACATATGTATATAAATATGTACTTGAACCATTTCAACCAAATTAGTCAAACTTCGGAAGTCCGCACAGGTTTCCTAGAAGGAATCTAGGAAACGTTGTTGCAACGGTATAGCAAAGCTCCACAAGAGACCTTGTGAGAGGGAAAGGTGATTTTTATTTTGAAATCAATTGCGCTCCTTCATACTAGTGTGTTAATACTAGCACCAAGACATACATGTCCAAGTGGCTTTTTTTGCCTTCAGGCCCCAAGACCCTGGATCCAAGAGGTTTGCCAGCATTCCTTGCCCTGACATGGGGGACGAGGGATGCTGCCTGTCTGGTCCTCTTCATGTGCTGGGTTCTTTCTAGGTTAGTGACCGCATACTGGTTTCGGACATGCCTTTTTGTACCTTTTAGGAACTGACAGTGCCTATTCTCTCCATCCTGTCACACCTCTGTGACTCATCAGCATTTGCTCACTGTCCTTTGTCTCCTGAGCTGGGTGTCTGAAGCTGCATGTGATTTCATGACCTGCTAATTTAGGCACCATAAACGCATGCATCTCCTGCAGCCCTTCTGCTATTCCCTCTGGTCCTCTACACCCAGACTTTTCTATTTGTTCTCCTTTCAGACTAATCTTAATAATTCTTTTCAGTTTTCTGTGGGAAAAGAAAGATGCAGCTAGTTCACTTGCATATGTTTAATACCAGAGACTCTTCCCTGCAGAAACATGTGATGACAGCCACAGGAGCAGCTTTGATCAGCACGTCATCTTTCTTACGTCCAAATGTGAGGCACAGGCCCATAGGAACCAGGCATTGTCACCTACAGACCCACTTTTCATCATGGTCCTTCCTGCACGCAGGTTTAAGAGTGGTGAAAGAAATTTGCTAGTACCTTACTCTCAAGCTGTGTTGGGCAGTTGAAGGTCAAAAGGCAGCAATTACTCTGTGATTATTTCCTTTTTTAATTTGCAGGCAAACAAAAAAACCACAAGATTTTCTTAAGATATTGAGGAGCCTGGTGCTTTAAAAGTTAAGAGATGCCTGCTGGCCATACCCACTAGTTGTTTCCTCCCTGCCTTGTTGGGGGACGAGGGCATACGTGTTCCAGTCGCAGAAGTAGGCACAGACTGTTTGTCATTGTGCTTGGTCGTGTGTGCAGATGAGCTTTGCCCTCCAGGATTATTGTAGCGGCTGATGAAAGCAATGTTTGTCTCGGTGACTTTTTTCTGTTTCTTTCCCTTGCCACCCAGAAGACAACGGCATTGTGCTGGAGAAGGAGATCTCCAAGGAGGAAGTGATTGGGATAATAGAGCTGTACAAACGGAGTTCAGCTGTCACTGAAACGTCTCAGCTGCAGAAGATCGTTTTGCAGATGGACAAATATGGGGTAAGAGGAGACCCTTACTGCCGGTTCCCTGCTGCGGGACGGGGGGAAATTTGGTAGGCCACAAGTGCATTTTTACTGTGTTCTAGAGAGAAGCCATTTTTATAATAGTCAGAACTGTACTACTGAAGGGACCTTGTAGCACTGGCACAAAGTTTTGCTGCTCTAGAAAAATAGCAGCTCAGTTTCCCCTGCACTCTGAAAAGCCTTGACACAGACTTATTGCTATAGCTTGCAAACTTGGCTTAGAGCTGTCCTCACCCAGCACTGACTGGAAAAAGCATATTTCTCCTCCAAGGAAGCCACCTTCTTGTAATTTTCCTGCCTCTTTCTGTGGCATAATTCACTTAGGCTCAGACAGTCCTGGAACTTTATGCAGCAATATGACAGTATCGGTTCCAAACACCGGGCTTCCTTTCTCTATGGCACTGTTTACATTTTCATTCCAAATAAGGATGTTGACAATTGGAGAACTGAGCTGCCCTGGATAACTATTCTTTCTTCTGAGAGCTATTGTATCATGCATCTGAGGGGAGTTTAAATGTATATTTTAATAATTGCTGCTATCGTCTCATGTCACTACTGCGAAGAGCAGGTGCTACAGTCACTTAGGTGACCCTTATTTGCTTTGGTGGGCTTGGTAGTTAAAGCTTGAGCTTTGTTCACAAAGGTAAAGTTCAGAATACTGATGATACTAATCAGAAACGGTTTTCAAGGCAATAAACCAAAGAAAGACGCAGTCCTCAGCCTTGCAATGGCATATAGAATGGTGATGTTAAACCTATGACTTTTAATGGGGTTTCTTTGCTTTTCAGTACTGTTCAGATAACTCATATGACCAGAGAGTAATTCAGGCTTTGGCTCTCTGCCTACGTGATTTAAGAAGTCCAGGCCCATGGAGTAAATGGTGTGGTCTAGACATATGGGACCTGAACTCATGCTAAGATGAGATCTCTCTTGGAAGCTTGGGTTTGAACCTTGTTCCAGATGCTGATGTCACGTTCATCTGACTAAGGAAGCGCCTCACAGAGGTGTGTCCAGCTGAGCTGGTCTCTTACAGCTCACTTTGTAGTCTTTTGGGATCTACTAAGTGTGATTCATCAAAGCCTGCAATGGATGCCTGTATTTGGTCAGGCGATGTGTACCCAAAAAATACTCCCGATGAAGGAGCCCAGAGTATCCTGAGCTCGTCTATGGGTGATGGATGTCAGCATGAAGGATGCCTGAAGTTCCAGGGGCTGATCCTATGAGCTGCGCAGTGATTATTGAATTTTTTTTTGGTCTTTTTTCCTCTCCTCCTTTCTCCCCCATTTTTAGCAAATGTCGACGCTGTTTCTGGGGCGCAGATCAAGGACCAAGAGTGATTTAAGTATGAAGATGTACGAGGAGGAGATACAGGTATGTAGACCTGAACTGGAAGTACCACCCAGCCTCTGGGGTGAGCAGAACACTTTTCATTGCCCGGAATAACAAACCATCCTTTTAAACATAGGAGACCTGCTGCCTCTAAGATCCAGGCAGCTGTGTGCTCTGTGGAAAGAGTTGGCGGTGGATGGAATTCCCCCCTCCCCTTCATCAGTTCTGGCATTTGGAGACTTTCTTAAATCCCTGAGTGCTTCAGAGCCTCCTCAGTGGGTTCAGGTGCCTGGCTGCGCTGGTGTGTGCCAGCCGATTTGCAGTAACTGAGCACTCAGTGTATGCGTATGCACTCCAACTTGGCTGAGCTACCCAAGCTCACCAAGGTGGACGTGTTTGCCGGGGGCTAAGAGCACATGCGTACTGTGCTGCTGGGGTTTGGCTGCTGAACGCTAATTTGTTAAGCCGCAGGAATGTGATTGTGTTTGAGCTTGGGTGTGTCTGCGTCTGACACAGAAACCAAGTGTTCTCCAGGACAGAATGCTGTTTTTTGGTGCTAGCAATGCTGCCTGGTTTTCCTCCAGGATAGCAGGTGAAAAAAGATGAGAGATATTCACTCTCTGGATCGTTTAAGACGTTCCTACTAATGTCCTTCAAGCTTAGGAACTCTGTGCCATGAATTTGGTCACTTTAGTGCATGCCAGACTTACCCTGTAGGTTGAAGGTCATTGGCTAATATAGTGATTAGGACTCAAAGAATTAATCTCGTAACCATTTAAATCTGTCCTTTGTCCCTTGGGCAGCTAGCTTGGGGATGAGTCTTCGGTCCACCTGACAAATAAACATGTTATTTGCCATGGAGCTGGCTGGAAATCTGCAGAGAAGCTCTCTGTGTATCCTGCTTGACCTCTAATTCAGGAGTGGTAAATGCTGTAACATCATTGCTAGAGTCCTGGGTGTTAATAGAGTCCTGAGCGTTAGGGAGGGGCATCCCAAGAGAGCGATGCTTCCTTGCTCAGGTTTGTCAGCCCTGCCAGCCAGCCAACCATAGCTGAGCCATAGCTGGCACTTATTACTTTGAACGTGGGCACTGAGGTCCCGGTGCGTCTGTCGCAGCCACGCTGTAGTTAACCAGGTCATTCCAGGAGATCAGGTTATATCCAGGACTTGGAGCTACAGGAAAATGGGAGCCCAGAAAGAGCTCCTGTATGCCTGAGCAAGCGCTGTGCCCTTGAGAGGCAGAGCAGCTGGGGGCTCTGCCTTTTGGGGTCCTACCGGGGGGTAGTGAGACACCCAGGGGTGGGAGAGAGCCTGATCTTGGTGTGGTTTGACCTCCCGTTGCAGGAGTGGTATGAGGAACACTCCAGAAAAGAAGAATCTCAGACACCGTTGCAAGAATCTGCACCTGCGTCCAACAACTCTCTGAAGCCCTTGAGCCTCCGGCAACGCTCCCAGACTGTCATTTAGGCCTAGCTAACGCAAGCTGCCCTCTATGCAATAACCTAGACTATTACTTCACAGCGTATATATTGGAATGGTGTATATAGATCTGTTCAATGTACCGGTTGGCTTTAGGGTTTAAATCTCTTCCCCTAGGCAGTGAATTGCTGAAAAAACAGAGGCCTTGTGGGGCTCTGCATAAGACTGGTAGAACCGGGTTGAGCATGATGCCCAGGCTCGGCATGGAGTGAGCATCTCAGGCAAAACAGAGTTGTCCTCCCTCTGACCTGCTTCCCAGGCTCAGACCTGTTGCTTGTCTTACCACTAACAGACCCCGGCAGAAGGGATATGTAGTCCATTAACAGCAGGAAAGGTGCTGAAGCCACCTGCTTAATAGTATTAAAAATTTTGCCCTTTGGAAGATCCACTTTTTTCAAAGGGTGCCATTAAGCTAGGTACAAAAGATCAGGGAATGAGTTTTTTTTTTTTCTTCTTCTCCCCTCCTTGTGCAAAGCAAGGGGAGGTGGTGTGAAATTTCAGCACTTTTGGAGGAGCGGTCTGCTTTCCCCTCCTTTCTGACATACCTAGATGCACTCCTGTAGCAGTTCTAGCTCTCATTATTGAGTTTAGCTGTCTGTGAGCTGTCCTGTGGCAGCTGGAGCCAGAATGAGGGAGCTCACTGCATTCAGACTATAGGTGGGACAAGAGACAACTCTCTCTGCTGGTCAGTTCTGCCCATGGCACTGCCCAGAATTGGGAGTGACTCTGTAAGCCCCAAAGCTCTTATCTCCGTTTGGTGAGATGAGTGATTCCCCGGGTTGGCAGGGGCTGTTGACCTCTGCCACTTGGCCACCTGCTTTGTAAATGGCAGATTTTTGCCTGCTCCTTAGTTCAGATAGAGAATTAGGAGGACGAAGGGAGGGTTTTGCAGCTCCAAGTCTATGACATAGTTCTGCCTGCGTCTGGGTTAAGAAGAGCTTATGGGCAGAGAGCCCATAAAACACCACTGCTGGTTAATCCTCAGCCAGGTCGTGGCTTTGTTTATGCAGGTGAACGAGTCCTAATGCAGCAGTGTTGCTCCTCCCTTGTTCTCAGCCTTGCAGAAAGGCTCTCCAGGCTGGCAAATGCTGACTGAGAGAGATCTTGGGAAGGCCGTCTATTGAAGAGCTTTACTGTTCCCCTGAATTCTGGATGGAGGAGGAACGTGGAAGATGATGATTCTGCTCCCCCATCTGCTTTTCTGCATCTAGCAAGGAGGCTGCCAGACCTGGGAGATGGGAAAGAAGGGGAAAAGGGGATCCTGCCCCAGCTCTACCACATTTACTTTGCGACTGTGGCAGGTTGCTTCATCGCTCATGTTTCATTGCCCACAAAGTGGTGAGAACCCTTGTCGCTGTAAATGCCTTTTTTTTTTTTTCCTGTCACCACAGGAAGTTTTGAGGGTTAAAAAGTATGTGTGTCAGCTGGGAGGTTCCCCTCACCTCTTGCTTTTTGATCTTTTCTCAGGTTCAGATTAAGAGCAGATCTAGCTGGGGAGGGGAGGTTTCTCCTTCCTCCAGATAGATGGGGCAGTGGGAGATCTGTGTGGCCGTTCCCTTTGTCCTGTGCGCCTGATTTCTTACAGGTAGCCTCAAAACATGTGGCACGAGGAGAGAGGGAGAGGAACTGAGTATTTCTTGTTGATCCTACCTGGGCAGCTAGGGAGCGTTTCCTGGGAAAGGATGACTGAGACTTTTCAAAAGCATGCCAGACAGGTACTTCTGAAAATTTCTCCCCACGTAGAGCAGTGGGAGTATTTGGACCAGCCGATGGAAAGAGGGTGAGCAGTCAGCATGCATACACCAGTGCGCTCTTCACCCCTGCGTTGCCAAACTCCCTGGGTGCCTCAGGGCAACTCGCAGTTTCTTTTCTGGGTGCTGCAGGAGCTTTGGTATGAAACTATTTCTGAACTGAACCGTGAAGGACCATCAAGGGCTGTTTTCCAAAACATACATCTGACCACAAATTAATGAGCAGTGCAGTGCTGCTCTTGCAGTTGCTCTGCATGGAGTTGTAGCCTGGGGGATTTATCCAGATTAGTCGTGGTGCTAGAGGAGATGTTTCTTCTGATTTAGGTTGTGGGCAGGATGAACAAGGATTGTGAAGATTAGAAAAAAATTGTAGCTGTGTTTTTTCAACTCTTCCTTCCCCTCCGGCCCATGCAAGGCACTTGGTGACTTTTTCAGGTGTTTCCTGGGTAGGAAAGAGCTGCAGCTTTAAGCTATATTTTGGGGGGCGAGGGGGGAGGCACTAACCTGCTTAACATGCAATAACAGGGCTCTCGTGTCACAGAGAAGGTGTGGGAACGCTTGAGCTGTGGGTCAGAGCTCAGGTGCTGCTTTCTGTGGTTGCTTGCCGAGATGTTGATCTGCCCTCACATGCGCACTGTATTAATTATTTTTTTAAACCAAGGAGGGTCACAGAAGTTTACTTCTTCCGCATGACTTTGTCTTGAAGGAAAAGAAGTTTTGAGTACGGGGCATCCCCTTCTATTTGTCCTCCTCTTCCCCACCTTACACACAGACTAACCACACAGACAATCATTTTGTAGGGAACAAGGGAGGAAGCACTGCAGGATTTTGTATGCTGGCGTTTTGTTTATAAAATGATTTTATGGACATGTCTGTAAAACGTTCTCTAGATTTTTCAATCACACTAATAAAAAGCATCCTCAGCTTTGTAAAGGCAGCGGCTTCCCTTCCTCCTTCCAGCGATGAATTCGGAAGCGGGCTCGGTGGCTGTTGGAGGATTGCCACGTCATCTGAAGGAGAGCCGTGCCTGCCCTCCCTCTCCAGCGGCAACTACTTGCAGGGACATGTTTTACGTGCGTGGCACAAAGATCTGCCCTAAATTCTTGTTCTTGGAGGCTGCCACCATAAAACCCAGCTCCCTGGCCTGGCACTTTCCCCCTCAGTGCTGAGATAATGCTTTTAAACTTGTATTTTTAAGTCTCCTCCAGTGCTACATCAAAGGTTGGAAAAGGGCTGTAGGCTCCTAAAGTAGTTTTGACCCCTTAGCGCCGTGCTTAGATGGTGGCTGCTGTTTGGGTTGTTGCAGCCCCGCTTTGCGTAAGGAAGTGGGGCTTGGGTGCAAATACCTCCAGAAGCTGGTGGTGGCTCCTGAGCACTTTCAGGGCAGAGCCCCCAGCCGCAGGCACAGAGCTTTAATTTTTGTGGCAACGCTCATCTGGGTAGAAAAAGGAGAAATGTCCCAGGCCCAGAAGGGAAGAGAGGAGCAGGAGCCTGCTGCTAAGCTCAGCCCAGAGCTTAAAAGCGGGAAGAAACCAGCTCTGGCAGTTGTGCCCTTGCAAAACCGCCTCTCTGTCCCCAAGGAGCAGCGGGGCGGCTGGCCCTAAG